TCCACAAGTATTATCATGTCTTAAACAAGACTTTAATAATATAATCAGTATTTTAAGAATGTATTAAACATGCATTTATTTTAAATTTATTTGAATTATTTAGAAATACAATTCTTAACAACTCACATTTAGATTATATAAAAATTTTAGTATACTGTTTGGATTATCGGAAGTAAAATAGCATGTAAAAAAACCTTTAAAATTATATATAATAATAGAAGAAATTATTCAATTAATAAAACTAATAAAAAAAAAACGCTGTCATCTAAATGTATTTCTTTACAAATGAATACATGACTTGTACGTGATGTATAATCTATAAGACTAAATAAATTATGTACATAGGTATATATATCACTTTGTGCAAATCAAAAAATAATAATTGATAATATGTTATTATTGATATTAAATATTCAACATATAATTCATGACGATGGTATTTATATTGATGATCATCATGTTTCTTGTGCGCATAATCAAGTATATTCAGAATATATGTCTATTGTAATAATAATAATCGTATACAAAAAATAATAGTAATAATTTAAAAATATTCACTTAAAATAGTTAAATATGAAAATATATCAAGACGGTATACAATTTCATCATGAATTGATGATTGACGAAAATCATTTAGAATTTTTTCGAAATTATTTAGCTAAAATCAAATGATAGATCTTATAAAAACATAGAAATTTTAAAGTCAAATGCTTTTCTCTAGTTCATTATTAATTAATGAATTGCAGGAAAGTTTTCTTCTCAAATCAATGAGTGATATGTTACTATCATATAGATTATGATGAAAACTTAAGCTCTTTTGACTTTGATAGAAACTAGATTTTATCCGTTCAGTTAGTTTCTTCTTTCTAAAGTTTCAAATCGAAAGTTTTAAATCAATCATCCTGGTACTCGTTACAAAGATGACGAGTTTTATTTTAATAATCTATCCTAGAAACATTATATTGATCTGAACAATTTTGGCACAATTTATTTCTCTCTACTAAACGATTGCTAACAAATGATTAATATTTCATCCGATTTGAACGTGTTTTGTCGAAAATCTGTTTTTAACTGCTAGATAGAAACATTCTATGAATATTTCAATCGAAAAAAATTTTTCAATGAAAATAAAAGATAATTCGATGTAAAATAGAAGGTTTTATTTCAATGTAAATGGTTAATTGTTTAAAATAAGCCTAAGGTTATTTCGATAAATAGTTAACTGCTAGAAATAAAATATCTCTATTAGAAAATGATTCGTTTATATTATATTTGAATATTTGGTAAAGAATTGATTATCGAAGGGCTCTCTGTTCTTTTTCGTCGTTTCGTTATATAATCATAATATTGAAAAAAAAGAGTGCCCTTGGCATCATTTAATGGAAAGCATTCTTTTATTGAGAGATTAGCAAATGAGAATTATTTATCTGATGATAATCGATCAAATTCCGAACAACGATCAAGTCTTGCAACGTACTCTTGGATGAGATTTTCATTTTTTAATTTAAATAAAAAGACAACAACTTATTCTATATAATTTTTTTTTCAATATATATATATTTATTTTAATTAACATTTTAAATAATCGATTTATATAATAAGATGTTTATCTTGTTTTTATTATTATAATTGTAATTCTATTGAATATGGTTATATTATAATACTAATAGATTTATTTATATTAGAGATTCAAAAATAAAATAGTATATAGAATTGATATATTCTATTTGAAAATAAAAATAAATCTCATTTATTATCTTCATTTATGTTTGGTTTATTTCGATTTAATAAAATAGTTTTTTAATATTGAAATAAGGGGAAAAAAACTGATAAATTATATTCGAAAGATATAATATATTCAAAGAATTATTTTCAATAGAAATCGAAATAACTCGATCAACTTAACATATATTATACGAATGGAAGATATTTATTGAAATAAATCAATTATCTTTGCACTTATTATATATTTATTTATTCAAATTTAAAAAAAAAGCGAACTCTTAAATAAATAAATGAAATCTTATATTAATATAATAGATCATTTCAATGGTTAGACTAATATTGATAGACATAAGGTTTTATTCAATTTATTTATTTTAATTTAATTGAGTTAATCCTTTGCTGGTGTTGTTTTTTTGTTAAAAATTTTTCTATAGTCTTATAATGAAATTATTTTATGTTATTATTGTCCAGTTAAGATAATAATTATATATTATTGTTTCTTCATTAAAAAACTCTTTATTTAGAAATAAAATATCATTTGCTTTGAAGAATATTCAAATTCCAAAAAAGAATTTTTCAAATGTGACCAAACGTTTTATATTATTTAAATAAATTTAAAGAGTAGTTTTCATATTCGTAGAATTAAAAAAAACCAAACTTTCATATTAAATCTTTATTGTTGTTTTTTCAAAGCTAATTTAAATAGTTAACTATCTCCTTACATCTGGTCAAAAATGCGTTATTCATTATATAAATCGATTTCTAGATGAATCTATATTGATTATCTTATTATATATAAAGATTGACAACGAAAATTATTTATTATTTTAATAATCTATCCTAGAAACATTATATTGACCTGAACAATTTTGACACAATTTATTTCTCTCTACTGAACGATCGCTAACAAATGATTAATATTTCATCCGATTTGAACTTGTCTTGTCGAAAATCTATTTTTAACTGCTAGATAGAAACGTTCTATAAGACGAAATAATGATAAAATAGTTCGAATTATCGATTAAAAATTTCTAAGGAAATAAATTTGATCGATCCTTATAAAAATGTTTTGAAAATAAATTTGTTTGAATAGAATATTTATCGATATGGTTAAACAAAGAAATTCGAAAATAAAAAATGAAAATATTTTGTTTCTTTATATTTATTAATATAGAAGTGATGATGTATCTGATTATTACAATCGAGTTCGTTATATTCGAGATTCTTGTAAAGTATTGTCTGATCTTTGGAAAATAAATAAAGATTTTGTAAGTTAAATAAAAGTATTGATAAAGATGTATCAAAATCATTGAAAGAATTTCGTTTGAGTGATGTTGCACGTTGTTATCGTCCTCCATATAGAACAAATGGTACTTTATCGATTTTAAATCAAACAGTTGATGATTTAATTCAAATACATGATTTTATTGATTCAAAAAGAAAAGAATGGTTTGAACAATTTTAAAAAATTATTGGACAAGCTAGAGATAAACAAGTATTTATTTATTTATTGATTTATTTTTAATAAAAGTCAACTATTCGTCAAACAATGACTGAACTAAGAGATAATTATGAAAAAGCTCAACAAAAATTAGAAACAGCTGATGCCAATTTAAAAAGTTTCTGTTTTTATTATTTAAAATAAAAAATGTTTTAATGATTCTTTGATTTGTTCTACTTCTCATTTCAAAATATAATGTGCTCCATTGGTTTTTTTGAATAACTTTTGATAGGAATATTACACAGATCTTCGGCTTTCACCATTCAAGAGAGAAGATCCGGAACCTTCCAAAATTCTCGCCAAGAAGTTATCCAATTAGCTGATGAAATTTTGATATATTTCGATTGCTTTGGATCTTCTCTTTTAAATGGTAAAAACCGCAGGTCTCTGTAATATTCCTATCAAAAGTTATTTAAAAAACAACGGAGCACAATATATTTTGAAATGGATAGTAGTTATTATCGTTAAGAAAAGAAGTCAGAAATACTGCGTTTCTAAATGTTTTGCTTTCACTTTACTTATTACAGATAATAAGATCATTTTTCTTATCGTTCAATATGGGTAAGGTAAATGAATATATAGTAAAAAAATAATTTGTGTTGCTTTATTTTTTTTTTGACGAATTTTCTTATATTTTTTGTTCCTAATGCAAACAATTGAATGTCAATTATTATTAGTATAAAATGAGTTTTACTTATTTAGAACTCGACAACAAGATTTCTATGATCAATATTCATTATCATACAATGATTCACATTATTGACCTGGAAATAATTCAAATTCATATGATTTTTATGGTTCAACATTCATCTCATACACTTTTACAACAAAATAGTTTTACTCAACAAGTTTACCTTAAATATAAACAAGAATATCTTGATGATAAAAAAGAAACATTGATATTGTAGAGAAAAAAAAGATTATTAGTTCAGTACATATTTACAATATTTCGAGAGAAACAAGCTACTCGTAAAAAAAAATTCAAATTATGTTACATTGAACGTAAAGAAAACGAGTCTCTTAATGACTAAAGAAGAGTCAACATATCTAAAAACAACAGCGAAAACTACTCTCCGGTACAAATCAGAGTCTAAAAATACTTGTATTCTTATTTAAATAGATAATAGAGAATATATCTGTTGCTATAATTTTCAAAAAAAAACAAAGATTTGACTCTTTTATGGAGTTTTTTTAATAAATACTATCATTCTTATCTACATGATAAATTTGAAAAGCAATAAAATAATCGTCAATGATTAAGAACACTAAGTGTCACTAATCCCCAAATTTTATTATTTCATAGAAAATATTTATAATCTAAAGTCATGTTGATTTACAAAAAAAAATACATTTTGTTTTCTGTAATGATCTAATTTCTAGAACGCGTTAAACTTGTTCCTGGTCAATCAATGGTAATGAATACACTGTATCGTTCTTAGTCATTTTTCTTATGTGAAAATTTTAATCGTCATATGTACAATGAATTTAAACAATATGCTGTTGAAGATACTAAAACTGATCATCGGCATATAAATGAATTGTTTTTATGAAAAATAATAAGAAAAAAATTGAATATTATTATTTACGTATAGATATGGTGTTAAATGTCTATTTCGATTTTATACATATGATCTAGAAAAACATTTTCGTCAACATGTATTTGAAGATTTTCAATAAGAAACTCTTTGTGATCATGAAGCTGGTAATAGAATAGATTACACAAGAAAAAAAAGAGAAGTGTCAATAACAAAAATAATTTTCCTATTTAGGTCAATTATATGGTTTAGAAAAATTCTGGGCATTTTTAAAATATTCTCGACAAAAACCAAAAATCACTCGAAAACTTGAAGAAATTTTAAAAAACTATAAAAATCTTGAAGATTTTCGTGTTGGTGGTGCATCATTTTCACCATCATTTTTTCCAACAAAATCAAATTATAGTAACTGAAAAACATTTTTTTTTTCTATGATATAAATAATTTCTTTATAGACTGTGCCAACATTCGAAGCAATTGCTGCTGCAGTAGCAAAGAACAGTGATACATCAAATTCATTAAAACCCAATGGTGAACAATATCTGAAGGATGCTAAACCTTATACACATTTTGTTTTTCTTTTATTTTGTCTAAAAAAAACGGTGCTCATATTTTTTCAAGTGGATTTCGATTTATTTAAAAGTATGCATGTATTTTTTTTGCTTTCAAAGTTTATTGTTATTTAATCTTTTTCTATGTATATATTACATTGGTTTGTTATTGTAGTAGATAGATAGATTAAATAGTGATGCATTTTCTTTTTCTATCGATAGAGATATGAAGAATTTTCATATGGTTTCGTTTTGTTTCTGGAACTATTTGCTAATAAATTCGTCTCGTTTATTTAATAATATTGGTAAGATATTGAGATAATATTTTATTTCGATAGAAGAATTTAGTGTTTTAGGAAGAATTGAGATTGGTTTAGGTATTGGTGGTGGTGTGATTAATTCCATACTTTATAATGGTAAATATGAAAAGATTTAAAAAAACTTGTTTTCTTTAAATTTAAATATATTCTAGTTGATGATGGTCATCGAGATGTTATTTTTGACCGTTTTCAAGGTGTTAAACTAGATGTTATTGAAGAAGGAACTCATTTTATGATTTCATGGCTTCATAGACCAATTATATTTGATATTCGTACACGACCCAAGGGGGAAACAGCGGACTTCAAGACTTCAAGACTTCAAAAGACTTCAAAAGACTACAACAGACTTCAACCGCAGTGACTTCATATTTTCACAAGACTTCAAAAGAGTTCTAAAGAGTTCTGAAGACTTCATAGGACTCCAAATGACTTCACAAGACTTTATAAGACTTCGTATGACTTCATGAGACTTCATGAGACTTCATGGGACTTCAGAAGACTTCTTTAGACTTCACAGACTTCGTGAGACTTCACGGACTTCATGAGACTTCACGGATTTCATGAGACTTCAGAGACTTTGTAGGACTTCTTGAGACTTTATAAGACTTCATAAGACTTCACAAGACTTCATAAAACTTCACAAGACTTCAAGAGACTTCACAAGACTTCAAGAGACTTCACAAGACTTCAAGAGACTTCACAAGACTTCAAGAGACTTCAAGAGACTTCATGTGACTTCATGAGACTTCATGAGACTTCATGAGACTTCATGAGACTTCATTAGAATTCATTAGAATTCAAGAGACTTCAAGGGACTTCATGAGGCTTTATGAGACTTCATTAGACTTCATGAGACTTCACAAGACTTCACAAGACTTCACAAGGCTTCACAGGACTTCAAGAGGCAGATTCCATGCGTATCAAAAAACCTTATAGAAATTACATGAAACTTCTATAACATGCAAAAAACAAAACTTATCATATAGAGATTACAAAAGTGTTTCTTGTTTCTGAGAATTGTTTCTCGCAGTATATCCATATCTAGAATAAAGATGTGACAGTGACACAAAGCGTTGATGAAATTAAAACAGAGAAAATAAACTTTACTGGTATGCGTATGTTTGATTCGATTAATCCAGCATTGGAAAACTCCTATTTTCAGGTGCCAATAAATAACAAGACTAAATTTATACACAAGCAAACGACTTATTGGTTATTGACCGACGAAGCTAGCCGTTTATCGGCTGATAGATTATCACGAGTGATAGAAATAAACAAAAAGGAATAAAATTCTTCATAAGATTGACATCGAATAAATGAAACATTTCTTATAGAAATAAACCACTTCGTTCAAAAAGCATTCAGTTCTTAACTATCATGTTTTCTAAGATCCAACAAACTTGAATTTTTTCCAGTACCTTGACAAACAAACAATAAAAAGTTCACCTTTCTGCTAAAATAAGACCGTCGAAAACAAGACAATTTCATTGCTTTTTTATGAATTTTCATGCACTAAATGTATTTCAAAACTTCCATAAGAATTCATGAGACTTCATTAGACTTCATTAGACTTCAAAAGACTTCAAGAGACTTCAAGTGACTTCATGAGACTTCATAAGACTTCATGAGACTTCATTAGAATTCAAGAGACTTCAAGAGACTTCACAAGACTTCAAGAGACTTCAAGAGACTTCATGAGACTTCATGAGACTTCATGAGACTTTATTAGACTTCATGAGACTTCGTGAGACTTCATTAGACTTCATGAGACTTCATGAGACTTCATAAGACTTCAGAAGACTTTATGAGACTTCAGAAGACTTTATGAGACTTCACAGACTTCAAGAGACTTTATGAGGATTCATGAGAATTCATAAGACTTCAAAGAGACTTCAGAAGACTTCGAAAGACTTTCAAGATTTCATGGGACTTCACGACTGAAGTCTCTGCTGTTTCCCCCTTGACACGACCACAATCGGTTCAATCAATAACAGAAATAAGAGGTATAAAAGCCAGAAGAAAACAGTCAACTTCAGGAGAGAGGTGAACATGAGGAAAATGTAAGCTCGCGAAAAAAAAGAAGGTAAATACGATGTCTATTGAAACATCAATGAATGTATATGGCTGAAGTATCTTAAAAAATTTTGTGGCCATCGATGGTGACTCAACTGATCGGTTTACACATCTACACTCTCATCATTCACCAATCTTAGGATACTTCATAAAACTTAAAACCGGAAGTATCCCTTATTTTTTCTTCGTATAAATGAAATATGCATAAATTACATTTTATTGTTTTTATTTTAGATTTACAAACAATTAATATAACATTACGTATTCTTTATCGACCAAGAGCTGAACTTTTACCAAAACTTTTTTGCAAATTTGGGTTCAGATTATGAAGAACGTGTTTTATCATCGATTATTAATGAAGTTTTAAAATCTGTTGTACTAAGTCTCAATTTGATGCTATTCAATTGACTACACAACGTGCACTTATTTCTCAACGTGTTAGTGAATTATTAACAGAACGTACTGCTCAATTTGGTTTATTACTTGACGATATTTCAATTTTAAGATACAACAAAAAAGAGTCTAGAGTTGCTTATATTGTTTTTTTCTTTAAATTAGACACATTTAAGTTTTAGACCTGAATTTACAAGTGCTGTTGAATTAAAATAAGTTGCACAACAAGATGTTGAAAAACAACGATTTTTAGTCGAAAAAGTAAATTAATAAGAATAAAATTTGTATGAGTTTGTTTTTTTTTGATAAAAAAAACAGACTGAACAAAGTCGTCAAGCAAATGTTACTGCAGCAGAAGATTAACCTCGTGCAGCTGATTTGATTGGCAAACCTTCAGATGGAGTTGGTGATGGTAAATTTTCGAATATCTTTTATTATCCTGTCTTACTTTGTTTTAATATTCATGTTAGGTTTGATCGAACTTCGACGAATTGAAGCCGCTGAAAGTATTGCAAATCAATTATCAAAATCAAGAAATAGCGTCTATTTACCACATGGTCCTCAAATGTTACTTAACATTACTGGTGCTATGCAAGAAAAATATTGTTTTTTGTTTTCATAGTAAACTAACGAGATTGATTTAGGAAAGTAAAAAGAACATATAAGAGTTTTTTTTGTATATGTGTGTGTGCGTGTGTGTTTATAAACTATTGAGAATAGTAAAGCATTATATTGTCCTGTTTTTTGTTCGATTAAAGAAAAAGAAGATCAGATCAACAATTCTCTAGATGATATTAAAGATTCGAGTACGATTAAAATGATGAATTTCGATAATCTCTTTCAACGTTTTATATTAACTCAATCATTTGTACGTGGTTGGGGAAATCCATTTCATTTACAAGAAATTTTTACCTATCTATGTGAAAAAATTGGTGTAAGAGACGAGTGTTTAGAACTTATACCAGCTGAAAATGTACACGAAAATACTGTTGAAATAATTAAACAAGAAACAAAAAGATAATCAAAATTATATAAATGCTCGATTTCGTTTACCACTTGCCAATTATTTACCACATTTGGTAAGTAATTAAAATTATTTTAATCATTTAATCGATTTTATCTTTTTCCTTTTGTTATATTTATTTAAATAGGTTCCATCTCAAATAGCTACAGCTCATATTCAATTTGTTCTATCACGTGATCATCATTTTGGTATTGATTCAATCCCGATAGGAATTTGTTATGCTGGAACAGGTGATCATGGTTTTAGTCGACGAAGGTTATTTACTGCAGTCCCATTAATTAATCAATATCCTATAGGTTCAATTCTTCTTGAAAATTCATATTATGGTTTAAGAAAACCACCAGATCAATCTCGTTCATCATTAGGGGTGTCGTATTAGCATTAGTATTAGCATTAAATTAATGCTAACACCAATATTCTTGTTTTCCGTTCCTAAGAAAAAGTATTTGAATTTGTATTGTTTAATATAAGGTTAGACTCAGTCAGCAGCCCTGATTAATTCCAATACTTTTGTGTTACAATTTTAATATAAAAGTATTGTGGCTAATATAAATTAATACTATATATGCACTAACTTATTATTAGTTACAATTTTTTATATTAAAATTGTAACACAAAAGTATTGGAATTAATCAGGGCTGTTGGCTGCGTCTCACCTTATATTAATCAATACAAATTCAAATACTTTTTCTTAGGAACGGAAAACAAGAATATTGGTGTTAGCATTAATTTAATGCTAATACTAATGCTGATACGACACCCCTATTCATCATTATTATATGTTACCAATTTATATATCATGGGCGAAGTACTTGTTTTAGAAACACTTATGCTATTTCATTAATGTCAAAAAAATGAAATTAATATAAGCTATTCTACATGGTTTTTATCTTGGTGGATATATGGCTTCATTAGCATTTACAAAGTAAGATTCAATTCTATTATTTGATCTATTTAATGAATGGATATACAGTATCTATCATAATTTTAAATAATGATTCAAGTAGAGCAAACCATATTACAAAAAGAATATAAATTAAATACATTGATTATTTGATTCCCTAAGTTAGGATTTTTTTAGACAACCCAAAAGCCTTATTTCTCAGTATCTAGTACTTGAACTCTCTAGGATGGTTTTTTATTGAGTAAAAGTTGAATAATTTTGGTAGCCATTGTGTACATATTTATATTTTAGATGGCCTGATCCACCTTGTCGACAATTCTATAAAAATAAAGTCTCTCAAACATTTTATGATTATCTACGTGAACGAAATCGATCAATAGATTCAAATAGAATTGTTTTCGATCTTATTAAAGATATGATGGGTCTTCTTATGGATGAATTTACATCTTTATATAACTATTCATATTCAGTTCAATAAAATATATCTAATGCTATGTTTATTGCTTGTACACATGATGGTTATGTATTACGTGATGGTATTCCACATATCAATGATGTATGGCCTGGTATTCATATTCGATATATTCCTCATGGACATGGTAGTGCATTTTTATTTAATCAATCAGATTTTCATCATGCTGCTGCTAAAATGATACAATGACAAGAATCAAATGTAAAACTAAAAAAACATCTAATCATATCACCAATTTCTGTTACTACACCTAAAAATTCGTGAAGATATATATTTTTTTCATATAGATATTTTCTCAAAAAGTATCAAATATTTCCTAGTTTTGGTGTTATGATTTGAATAATAACTCAGAGAAAAGAAAACTTTTGATCAAATATAAACTAGATGATATATTAATCGTTTTGTTTTTTAAATATAATTTGTATGACTCTAGTAAAAACATGAGCAAACATTTTTTTTGTCCTATTTATCAGCAAATAGATATTGAGAGAACTTCTCCAACTGATATCCTCTGTTCGAGCTCATAAGTAGGACTCATAGTCATGATGAAAACATTTAACATGTTCGTGCTCTTAAGCCTTTCATGATTGTTCTATTAAATTTTCAGCATATTGCAGGATATTAGCAAAAAAAAGTGCAATAACGAGTCTCCATTTGAAACTTTCTCCCAATAACAGATCTCATAACAATTATTACATTCTAAAAGTTTTAGCTCAAACGAATGGATCCAAGTCAATCAATCAGACAGTGAGATCAATCACAGATTCTTGTACCTTCATACAGATCGTACAATTTGATCTCACTATATTGTTTGAATCCTTTACAATAACCCATACAGATTAGAGTTCTCTTCTTTATAAATTACCATACCATCCATACGGATACATAGCCAACATTTAAATTTCTGGTAGCATAACTGGATACAGATTTATCTATATACCTTTACTCAGAATTGGAACTGGTCTTTATCAGTTCTCTTTCTTTTCGCAGATGTGAACGAGAAGGAGGAAAAGAACAGCGTGTGCATTTATATGATCATATCCTTACTATCAAATAAAACTTAGTTATTACTTGAAAAAGAAAATGCATAATGCAAAATAGTTTGTATTAACAACAGAAGAATTACTTGAATATTGTATTATAAAAATAACTTTATAAAAAAAAAAGAACTATTCTTTTGCTTTATTCGTATCTGAGCATTTCAGATATTCACTCCAGAATATTGTGTAGTGAACATGAAGACACACTAAATAAATTGTACTTTGTATTTTCAAATAATTTTGAAAGTATTCATAGAAGATCAATGAAGAAATGCATTTCTATATAAAACATACTCTATTGGTATTTAATTTTGAGAAGAAACTAAAAATAAACAGAGCGAAAAAGAAAATATTAGTTTTTTTACAATTGCATTTTAATGTTGATTATTTCACATAATGAAGATAGCTATTTTTTATTTGTACTTCATAGTTTACATTCTTGTTAAGATATAAATAGCCAGTATTGACATAATTTGTAGCTAAAAGACAATAAAACTTCTCTATCATTGAATCTCTGCTTGTTTTCTTGATATCACAAACAGATTGACAAAAAAAAACAGGCTTTATCAAGTCTAAAATGTTGATATTACATACTGGGTGTGGGTGTGGGTGTGTGGGTCTGGGTGTGCGTATGAATATACTCTTTATCCACACCCCACACATACCCTTTTCAAGTAAGTGTATCAGAAAATGCTCAATTTTGAGTATAACTTGATTGTACAACAGATCAAACTGTTATTATAGAATTGGGAAGTGTAGCATTTTGATTGTACTCAAAATTCTTCTTTCACCTATTGAAGATTTAGCTAAAACAGATATTATTGATATCGTAGTACTTGATACATTTCGTCAAAGTCGAATACGACATATGATATTTGTTGGTCGACGTAGACTAATTCAAATATTGTCATTTACTATAAAAGAATTTCGTGAACTTACTAAATTAATTGGTTTACAATCAATGTTAAACAAAGAAGATTTTAATTGAATTGATCAAAATATACTTAATAAATTGAAAGTGTTCATTTCGAACATATAGAGCCTGTAGTTAGTTGTGATTTTTCTGACCATCTTGTCATTAAAACTATAGATTATTATGACATCCAAGTAAGAATGAAGAGAGTCTTGTTTTTTACCCCGTTGAGTTTGAAAATTCAAATATTTAATAATTGGAAATGCAGTAGAGTGGAACGGATTATCTCTATAAGAGTCTAGACATAGTACTGCTCATGTATAGAGTAACCACCATGGATGAGCGACTATGAATGTCATCATGTATGTGAGAGCTAGTAGGTTCGAATCTGGACGCCATTCTCGTCTATACTATGTAGTCTTGGATAAATTATTGAAGACTAGGATCAATTGACCATAGACTGACCAATATTCGAGAAGTTTGACAAAAAAAAACCAACCATAACTTGATAAAGAAATTCTAACCATGTGTAAATTAAAAAATTTTCTTTGATTCTTAAAATCTTTCTAATTGACATGAAATAAATGTTCGGATTTTCTAATTGATTGTATACTATGACAAATTTGATATTTTGGATCAATGCGTTCAACATCATTAATTAATTTTGCACACTTATCACGTTGGTCACTACGAGTATCATTAAATTTGTGTGCTGCATCTGAACATATACCAGCTACAGTAGTGGCCAAAAGTCCCGACCCTAGAGGATCTCAGCCATTATAAGTGCTGGATGTCTGAAAATTTGTGTGCGCATACTCCGTCAAGAATGCAGGTCAGAGACACAATTCTGCCTCGATTGCTTCAGTATAAAGAGAATTATGATAGATGGTATCTATTTTTGTATTGAGATTTTTAACCTGAAAAAGGACTGTCCACTCAATTTTACACTATTTTTTTACCAAATACATAACTAAATTTTGATATTATTGCATGGAATTGGAGCTCAGTCTATGATCTTTCTTAAACCAAAATATGAGTTCATTTGTTCGAATATTGGCGTTTCTGCATGTCTCTGCATCCTCAGATTCACCAATGCGATGGTAATATCCATGCTATTTTCCATCAGTACACAGTTCATTTATGAAACTTATGGACACTAATGTGCAACTACAGGAGACGCTTTTGCAAGAATTTGAGCTTGATCCACTAAATTGTTACTGAGTTACCGTCTTAAAATGATACCAGAAGATTTTTTTCCATATCATCGGTCATAGTAAATTGGCCATAATTCTAAAGAAAATTGACAAACTGCAATAAAATTAGTTGTGTGGATAGCTGAAACACAGCGCTACACAATGAACCATTAGCTGACCTACGAAGTCCAGCTTTTCCAGAGTTATGAAGTTCAAAGGCGAAATATGTGTCATCCATTGTCATCCATCATAATTCTCTTTATACTGAAGCAATCGAGGCAGAATTGTGTCTCTGATCTACATTCTTGACGGAGTATGCGCACACAAATTTTCAGACATCCAGCACTTATAATGGCTGAGATCCTCTAGGGTCGGGACTTTTGGCCACTACTGTATATAACGATCTGTCAGAAAACTTCAAATACATGAATGTATAAAAAATTAGAAAAAAAAAATGCAAACAAGTTCTATACCGTTGACAAGTATCACAATATAATTGTTCAATGTTATTATTGAAGCCATCTATAAATTTTTTTATATAAATCAAAATATTTATCACAAGTTTCTCGTGGTGTATATTTCGGTTTCAATGCTTTTGTTTCAGTCGCCGTGCTATATTCATCAATACCACAAATATATAAAGTATTGTAATTTTTCAACCGACAATACCTTAAATTTAATATTAACAATGAAAAAATGGATAAGAAATTGTTTAATTTTACCGAGCAACAAAACATTACCATCTAACAAAGATCCAGTAAGAATATCCAAATGAGGTACATTGTTGACAAAAGATTAAGTACGTGTCATCAGGGCACTTCGTACGGGATTAAAGTGTGAAACATGATGTTGTTACTGTTGTTAACCACAAGGAGATTGTTTTATTCAGTCTAATTTAGAAGGTATTTCTTCATCATTCTGTTACTTGATGCTCCAGAAATGCAATAAGGAAGTAGTTAACTAGACGGAATTGAGACACAGTCTTCGATTGTATATTAACAAAGGATGTCACTATCCCTTATAAAACGGAAAGACGAGTAAGTTTATAGCACATATATCTTAAAAACACATTTGTGCAGCTAAAAGCCTTCTCCATCAGGATTAGTAGGCGCGAAGGCCTCGGTCAAAACCAAATTTCTCGTATCTGTTCAAAGGTATTGAGAGAAATTTTTATTGGATAGAGCAAAATGAGATGTCTCCGACCTCTTCGTGAACTTCCTTCATCGAACTGTCTTTCAGGCTCTCCGTGAATCGAAAACAAGTCGATGAAGAAAGTACATGAAGAAATTGATGACACCCTATTTTGCTCAATCAAATAAAAAATTTTCTGAAGATCCCAATCCAAGCAGTTCTGTTAAAATCTTTGAAGCTGCTACTACTACTTATAGAGAATTGTTTCAGTTACACAAATGTTTTATATTTCAACAAGAGATGAATCATTTCTTACATGTTTTCATTCGATTTTGATTCATTGAGTATCGATAGTGTCTTTGATCATTGATTCAAAGCTTTCTCAACTTCTTCTGACGATCGATTAAAATCGATTTCTTCAACGGATACTTCTACAGTAGTCTAAAGTTTTTCATATACTATAAAAGATGAGTCATTCATTTGTCATAAAAATGCATTGTTTTCTTCTTTCAATTATCAGTTCTTATTTTGCATCACATCTGATCAGTACACAAAGAGAAAAAAATACTACGAACAAAAATAGTATTCCAGAAGATTATTTCGAAAAGTAGATTAATCATCGAAAAGACACAGAAAAGGATAATAACATTTCAAGTTTTCTGTTTTGAGAAAACAAAGATAGTCATTTCTTTATCAGTTTATACATTCATTGTAAAAGTATAGAAATCAAATGAAAGAATTAAACGTAATTTTCAACGAACTTACGTTTTTGAATGGATTGTATAAATGACGACGAATCCTAATGATGAACAGCTTTCGTAAATGGATCCTAAAAAAAAGAGATAAATGAAGTCGAAATTGAAAAAATATTGTTAAATTTTTTTGGCAAATAGATTATATCAATCAAAATAGAGCGAATAAAAATTCAACTTTCAACAGAAACTTGTAGTCCTACTCAGGTCATATGAAAGATCGACTTTCGAATTCAAATTTTGCATGAACATGAAATTAATTCTTTGGACAAGTTGTAACTTTTCTAAGTCTTTTTTTCCAATCCTGAGATACTGAATATTCGAAATTTTCCATATTAACGAGTCTCGTCAAGAACTTTGTTCGCGCAAAGTTTGAAGTCGAAATTCTATTTTCTAGATGACCGGACAGGACTACATGTTTTCATGCTGAAGCATCCAGTAAAATTTCGATATATCTAGAGAACGAAGATTTCGAACAACAATACTTCGTCAGTCAACTTTTTATATTTTCATCTGATATTTGTCTTTCGATAGATGGAAAAGTTCCTGATGAGATTTTATATAAAAAATTGATCTCATCTTTTAATACCTAAATTAAAAAGCAAGACAAATTTCGATGATATCTTGAATAATGTTCGGTAATTAACTTTGTTGAGCAATTATATTGAACATCTAATTATATACTGCTTTTACAGATTGCCACTGTTCAAAATGAGAAAAAAAAGTTTCGCGATGGTATAACTTTAAGCCATTTTTCTTCGTTGAAATTTGTAAAAATTAGAAGATTTTCTTTGACAATAGCAAAACATTTGGAGTTCTTTTTTTGAAGAATACTGAGATTTTCCTTGAGATAAGTGTCGAGTACTTTCTTCCACTGAAGCTGTTACACTAAATTTGACAGGCAAATGATATCGTAGAAAAACGAAAGATTCTCACAGGTACTTTATACTATTTTTTTCTGATGGAGGTGTCTATTTCAGTATGACTTTTACTGTAAAGAGTTATAATAAAATATTCCTCCCCGTTTTGAATATTTATTAGGGAAAGAATGAATTTCAAAAATACAATTTATTAGAATTAGAATTTTATATTTATTTTTTTTTTGAAAATATGTGTTCATGAATTGTTTCTAATTTAAACTTTCTGTAATGTAAGCAGATGTTTGAAACAATTCCAAACTGAAATTGGTACAAAAATTTTCTTTGACTCATTTTTTTCTTGTATTTTAGCTAAAAGTTATTCAACTCAAAAATCTAACTTTATAGTATGAAGTTAGTTCTACAGAATTCCTTATCTAATTATATATTTACATAGCAGAAGAAAGACTGAAAATTTGTTGCATCATCAATTTAAACAAGTTATGAATGATGAAAATATTGATTTTGTTCAGTAGAAACATCAATTAATGCAAGTTTAACTCAGCAATACATAAAGGATTAATTAGTATCAAGGCTTTTGTATCCTATGTTATCTTGATAACTTCAGAGATGATTATTGAATTCTACACAATTGTATGAATTGTTCATCTATTAAATTTCTATTTGGGCTTCAATAAAGTTAGTTTTGAATTGCTTTAAAAGTAATTCAGTAGAAGTCACTTTTACGTTCCTTGTAGCTACACCCATTGAACTAAATAATAGTTCTTATTTTGTTCGTTTTTCTTAAGATTTAATATATGATTAAAGTCAAAACAAAGAAAAAACCACCAGAATATTTGATCATTATACTATTTCATAAGCTGAACAAAACAAAAACTTAAAATATTAATTATTCAAAATGTAATTAATATTAATAGATAGACAACAAGAAAGAATAAATAATGTGTTTGAAAGTTTTGACTTGATAGTAAATGAGACATCACGACAAGTTTCACTAGTAGATCAGAACTTTATGAGCACACGCATTTTCGATTCGTTTCAGTTGTTAAATGAGTCAAAATTTTCTGAATATTTTTAGTTTAATTATGAAAAATTCTCATTTGAAATACTTACTTGTCTTT